CACGGTCTCTCCTGCCCGGGCTGGTTTTGAACCGCGATCCTCAGATCTCAGCCTCCTGAGTAGCTAGGATTACAGGCGTGAGCCACCAGCGCCCGGCTACACATTATTTTTAAAAATGCATGCCATGACAGACTAGAAAACTTAACGCTAGAATGTCAACAGTACTCAATACAATTTATAGATTAAATGCACAGTTTCTGTCAGCACTTCAGTACTTTTTTGCAAAAATAAAAAATGCTATACTACAATTCAACTGAATCTCAAGGGATTCCAAATAACCAAAACTATTTTGAACAAACAGAATAAAGCTGGAGGACTTTGTAGCATAGCTACAAACCGTGTGGTGCTAGCATAAAGGTAGATGTGGAGACCAATAGCATAAAAGAACACCCCGAAATCAACTCACAAAAACAGTCACATGGTTTTTCACAGCCAGGTGCTGGTAGCTGGTAGGGTGCCTAGAACCCTAGCTACTCAGGAGGCTGAGATGTGAGGATCGAGGTTCAAAGCCAGCCCAGGTAAGAAAGCCCATGAGATTCTTATCTCCAATTTACCAAACCAGAAAGTAATGCTGTGGCTCAAAGTGGTAGAGCAGCAGCCTTGAGCAAACAAAGCTCATGGACAGTTCCTAGGCCCTAAGTTCAAGTCCCACAACCTACCAAAAAATGAAATAAAACTTCATTATTTCCTAGGTGTATAAAACCCGCAGCCACTGTGGTAAAATGTAATTGCTTTCTGCCTTCTCAGCATGAACTCTACAATTCTAATTGAGTGATAATCTGGCTTTGGCCCCTTGGATCATGCTCCACACCTGGTCACCTGGTCACTGACCTGACACATCCGTTTCTAACTTTGAAACATGTTCTTCAGCCCTGGTGCTACATTATCTCTTACCAAAGGAGCATGTCTTGTTTTAAATTCTAACAGTGAGTTTCAAATAGCAACACTAGAGTCACCAAACCCAGAACAAGTTTTCTCATGTGTGTAAACAGGACATCTGACCCCACACAGACCTAGGGCTATTTTGGTGAGTGGATATGGTGCCACCATGTGGCCATAGTATTAAACACCAGATCACAGCATGAGGAGTAAAGCAGACTGAACTCCAGATGAGGGGGGTTCTTAATCCGCCCCTTCCAGCTTTGAAATCAGGCTGCTCCAGGGAGTTACAATTTGCCTTGATTTCATGTGAGAGGGGACATTATTTCAAAGTTTCTCTTCGGCCCTGAGCATCCTCGGGAAGCTTAGTTCCTTTCTCCATTTTTCCATTTTGTTTTATTAAAACGAGGTAATGGAGCTGGTGTGGTGGTATATGACTATAGTCCTAGCACTTGCAAAGTGGCAGCAAGTTCGAGACCAGCCTGAGCTACACAGTGAAACCCTAGCTCAAGTAACTCAGGACTGGGGATGTAGCTCAGTAGGAAAGCAATTACCTAAAGTATGTAAAAAACCCTGGATCTGATACTCAGCATTGCTAGAAAAAGTGAGGAGAGCCGGGCACTGGTGGCTCACATCTGTAATCCTACCTACTCAAGAGGCTGAGATCTGAGGATCACGGTTCAAAGCCATCTCCAATAAACTACTGGAAAACCGGAAGTGTTGCTGTGGCTCAAGTGGCAGAACACTTGCCTTGAGCTGAAGAGCTGAGGGACAGTGCCCAGGCCCAGAGTTCCAGCCCCACAATGACAAAAAGAAAAAGTGAGGAAAAGCCAGGTGCTCTGGTGGCTCGCGCCTGTCATCCCAGCTACTCAGGAGGCTGAGATCTAAGGATCATGGTTCAAAAGCTGCTCAGGCATAAAAGTCTGTGAGGCTTTTTTTTTTTTTTGGTCGATCATGGGGCTTGAAATCTGGGCCTGGGCACTGTCTCTCAGCTCTTCAACTCAAGGCTAGCACTCTACCACTTGAGCCACAGTGCCACTTCCAGTTTTCTGGTGGTTTATTGGAGAGAAGAGTCTCACGGATGGGCTGGGAAGGTGGCTCAGTAGTAGAGCGCTTGCCTTGCATGCCTGAGGCCCTGGGTTTGATTCCTCAGCACCACATAAGCAGAAAAAAAAAAAAGCCGGAAGTGGCGCTGTGGCTCAAGTGGTAGAGTGCTAGCCTTGAGCCGAAGAGCTGAGGAACAGCGCCCAGGCCCAGAGTTCAGGCCCACGACCGGACCCAAAAAAAAAAAAAGAGTCTCATGGACTTTCCTGCGAGGCTGGCTTTGAACCGTGATCCTCAGATTTCAGCCTCCTGAATATCTAGGATTACAGGCATGAGCCACCAACACCCAGCCTGTGAGGCTCTTAACTCCAATTAACTACCAAAAAGTCACAAGTGGAGCTATGGCTCAAGTGACAGAGTTGTAGCCTTAAACAAAAAGCTCAGACAGTGCCCAGGCCCCGAGTTCAAGCCCTAGGACTGGCACAAAATCATCAAATCAGGAAAATGGGCCTTTGGAAATTCCAATAAATCTGTTCTTTAGTTACTCCTTGCTGTTCTATTCCCTTCCTCCAGGTTGGTTTGAATGGGGTCTCAAGATGGCAGAGACTAGAGAGTGACATGGAAAACCAAGTGTTTCTCCATTTGACTTTTTCTACAGAAACTCCAACGTTGTCTTTTGCCTATAATCCTAGCGACTCAGAAGGCTGAGATCAGAGAATCATGGTTTGAGGCCAGCTTGAGCAGACAAATTCAAGAGACTCTATCTCCAATGAACCAGCAAAACATCAGAAGCAGAAGTGTAGCTCTTGAAGCAGAAAGCCAGCCTTCAACAAAAAAGACAAGTGAGAGTATGAGGCCCCGAGTTCAAGCCCAAGAACTGGCATAAGTGTATGTGCAGGCACAACACACACACACACACAAACACACACACCCTAAGATGAAGTTGGCAGAGGGACACACACACACACACACACACACACACACACACACACACACACACACAGATACACACCCTAAGATGAAGTTGGCAGAGGGGCCGCCACATGACAGTGGTGTGAGTCAGTGGGTACAGGTGTGTGGGGGGGGGGGGGGGGGGGGGGGGAGGATGGGACTTGGGAATTGAGGAGCTGCTTACCCCCACCGCAGGCCTGGATGAAGAAGAGCTTGGGCTTCCCGCCCAGGCCAGGGCAGTGGGTCCCATTAAAGATGTTCACAATCCTCTCCACAGACACAGAACATCCATCTGTGCCATAAATGGCACCCGGGAACTGCAGGTGGCTGGCCTGGAAGCCCAACAAACTGGGTTACACAACGAGACCTGGGACAGTAGCCACCCACCTGTCCAAAAGCATCATGGGAGCCAAGCTTTCAGAAGGCCCTGGGCAGTGCGAGCAGCAAAGCTCATCAGTGGCCAAGCCTGGAGAGGGTCCCCGCAGGAAAGAGCCCCGTACATGTGACACAGGACAGACACAGGGCAGGGAAAGTAGCTGACAACACCTGTGTGCAGAGTACTGAGAAACATCAGGCTGAGAGCTCAGTGAGAAGACATGGCCTCTCCCACCTTGTCCTCGGCGGTGAGGCAGAGGGGCAGACAGTGCCTGAGAAAACAGCAGGAGGTGGACAGGACCTCAAAACCTCACCATGGATGTAAGGAGGGATGGACTCCTGTGTGCCCTCCCAGGACAGCAGATCAGGGCCAGGGGGAGGGGGAAAGGGGAGAAGGAACGCAGGAGGGCAGCTCCTACCTGACAGCCATGAGACAGGATGACCACCACACAGCAGTCCAGAGCACGATGGTCCCGCTGCGCTAGCTCTGTCAAGGCCTGGACCATTTGCTAGGAGGAGAGGCAGCAGTGGGGAGCACCCTAAGGCCTTCCCCGCCCCCCTCAGAGGCCAGCTCCCAAGTCACCACAAATGCACTGCTCTCAGGGAAAGGCATGTGTCTGTGTATAGTGCTCATCTAATCCCAACAACCTTATCAGGGGAACTGAGGCATGGGAGGTCACATGGCAGGCAGCACAGAGCTGGTCCTCATACCCTCCTTCATTCATCTGATGCCTGAATCTGTAGCAACTGGGCCAGATGTGCACACACACACACACATCATGCTCCAGATGTAAAGGCTTTTGGGAGAGTCGGCCTGCTTTCGGGTCCCTTGGAGGCCTCGGCCCATTTGCCCACCAGCCCCCAGGTGGGCAGGGACTGTACCTTGGCAGACAAGTCACACTTAACCTCCACAGAAAAGTGCAGCTGGCGGAAGCGGTGCTGCAGCTTCTCACAGTCCACATTGGAGCCAGTGCGTAGGCTGAGCCTCGAGGCAGGACAGAAGTTCACATTGTTGACAATGAGACAGTAGCCACATGGGTCTGCATCCATAACATACGCCTGTCCAAGCAGATACACTATAAACAAGGGGTGGGGGAGTTCACTGCACTCCTCAGGAAGGCAGGCGAGTCCCTGGTCCTGGCCCTCTCCCACCAGAGTCTGGAAAGCTGGGGCAGGATGCAGAGGTCTGCCTCCCACTGTGGGTCCCAGCCACATAGTGCTGGCTTCTCTCTGGAGAGGGCTTGCTTCTGTCACAGCATTCAGCAATGGGAGCCACTGGCTTAAAAATCTAACAGCCAAGCTAGGCACCAGTGGCTCAGGTCTGTAATCCTTGCTACTCAGAAGGCTGAGATCTGAGGATCTCATTTTGAAGCCAGGAATGTCTATGGGACTCATCTCTATTTAACCACCAAAAAACCCTAAGTGGAGTTGTGGCTCAACTAGTAGGGTGCTGGCCTGGAGTAAAAAGAAGCTCAGGAAGCTGAGTGCTGGTGGCTCAGCCAGCAAGCGAAGCTACTCAGGAGGCCAAAGCCAGACAAGCAGCAAAGTCTGTGAGATTCTCATCTCCAGTTAACCACCAGAAAACCAAAGTGGTAGAGTGCTAGCCTTGAACACAAGAGCTCAGGGACAGTGCCCCGGCCCCCAAATCAAGCCCCATGATCAAGGTGGGGGGGGGGGGAAGCAACTCAAGGACAGTGTCCAGGCCCTGAGTTCAAGCCCCAGGATTGGCATGAAAGGAAGGAAGGAAGATAGGAAGGAAGGGTGGGTGGGAGGGCAAAAAGAGACAAAGACAAAAAGGACTGAGAGAGAGAACCTGACATGCCACACAGGCCAGCAGCTGTGGCCCAGGGCACAGGTGAGAAGCTCGTGGTGCACTTGTCAGTCAGCAGGCTTGGCCAGGGCCTGCCTCCAGAGCATCTGGGTCTGGGGTGGCCTGCTCCCCAGGCTCAGACCCTTAGCCTCCCTCACAAGGCACATTCTTGTTTGTGGCTCTTGGCACTTTGTATACTCCCTCTGACAGAGGTGGAGACCAGAGAAGGTGTGGTGTTGTCCCCAGGTGTCCCATCCAAGAATGGAGCATGGGTGACTTGGCGTGGGGTGGACAGCACAGCTGAGCCAATGCCCCAACCCCTCGCCCACCCCGTAAGGTCTGACCCTGACCTTCCAGGTGAAGAAGGGTAAGGAGGAACCCATCTACACCAGCAAACACTGCACAGGGTCAGGGAGCCATGGAGGAGGAGCAGACACCCCACTTCCCAGCCAGGCAGGGTTCCCTCACTTCCTACAGCTTCAGGGAAGGGACTGGGGTAGAGAAGGACAAGCCCAGAGCCACTGGCCCCCCAAACACACAAAGACTCACCAAATCCGTGTTTCCCCGCAACCTCTCCTGAGCACCTGGCAATACAGAGAAAGGGAAATGCAAATGTCAGGGTCCCCCTGGGAAAGACCAAAAAATTGCAACAATACCCACCCCAAAATGAGAGGCTCAGGACCTCAAGGACCACTGGCTCTGCTGGTGGGAATCAGCAGCACAGCCCCATGGAGAATGGTCCAGAAATTTTCAACATTAAACACATACTCATCCTCTGAACTATGTCTGGACCTATTTCCAAGAGAAATGGATGCACCTGGAGATAGCCACAAAAAGAGCTGTTGAGATACTCACTGTGGCTGTGGTAGATGGTTCATGTGGTAGAATGAATGCCCACCAAGTACTGAGTTCAAACCCAGTACTCCTGAGAGAAGGGAAGGGAAGAGGGAGGAAAACAGGAGGGGAACAGAGTTAGAGAGAGAGAGAGAGAGGAAGAAGAAAGAAAGGAAGGAAGGAAGAAAGGAGACAGAGAGACAGGGAAGGGGAGCAGGTACTTGTAATTCTAGCTACTCAGGAGGCTGATATCTGAGGATCACAGTTCAAAGCCAGCCCAGGCAAGAAAGTCCATGAGAGGGGATGGGAAGGTGGCTCAGTGGTAGAGCACTTGCCTTGCATGAATGAGGCCCTGGGTTGGATTCCTCAGCACCACATAAGCAAAAAGAAAAAAGCCGGAAGTGGTGCTGTGGCTCAAGTGGTAGAGTGCTAGCCTTGAGCTGAAGAGCTGAGGGACAGTGCCCAGGCCCAGAGTTCAGGCCCCACGACTGGACCCCCCCCCAAAAAAAAGAAAGTCCATGAGACTCTTATCTCTAATAAACCACTAGAAAACTGGAAGTGGCGCTGTGGCTCTAAGTGGTAGAGTATTAGCCTTGAGCAAATAAAGCTCAGAGACAGCTGAGTTCAAGCCCCATGACCAAAAAAAGAAAGAGGAAGAATGGAAAGGAAGGAGAGAGAAAATAGGCTTGTTTTTGAGCTATGCTCAAAAGCCCAAAAATGGGCCTATACTGGGAACTAAGGTTGGTCATGGTGACACACATCTGTAATCCCAGCACTCAAGAGGATTTTCAGTTCCTGTTCATTTCTGGAAGGCCTTGCTCTAGTTAACTTTTGGTTAACTTCTGTAGTTAACTTCTGGTTGAACCCTTGGTTACCCACCAACCACTGTACCAAAACTCACAGACATCACGGAATCCTCCAGAACCAATGTCCACTGGCCTGGGTAGTTCTGGTCTGAGAACCTCTGGCCTACGCTGGGCTGGTGTGAGCTCCTCAGGTCCCAGCACCATGGGGGTGAGCTCTCCTTGGGCTGGCTGCCACAGATCCCGCTTTGTCACTCTTGGTTCCTCTGTTTTGCTCCCAGTCGGTCCCAGGACCACCGGCACCAGGGCCTCAGGGTCCCTTGACACTGCTTGCCGACTCGTTCGCAGGAACAAGGCCAGTGTGTCCTGGCCCGTGTCCTCTAAGCAGGAGATGAACAGGGGAAGGGCCTGCTTCCCTCGGGTCTCCAGATCTGTAACCAGCTGCCTGGCTTGGTCCCGCCGGGACCCGGAGCCTGCATGCTGTAAGGAGAGAAAGATCAGACCTTCCTTACCCAGCTACTTCTACATGGCTCTCTCCTGCCTTGCTTCCTATCTAGCATATTTCCACATGGGCAGAAACAGACCTGCAGGTACACTGAGCGTGGGTCTGTCAGTCTCCCTGCACTGTACTTACCTATCCATGAGTATTTCAGGGCATCTACTACATGCCCAGCACTGTGCTCACAAAAATCTTGCAGCAAACAGGGCCGTGAGTCCTATGTCCAGCACAAGAAGGAAAAAGAAAAAGAAAGGGAGGAGGAAAGACTAGATTTTAATTACTCCCGAAACCCATGAGGAAACACCAGTTTGAAGAAGAAAATGACAGAGATCTGCCTCAAAAAAAGAAAAAAGAAACATAGTCCCAGCAACGGGGAGGACAATGGACAGGAGGCAGCCATGCCACGTCAGGAGGCAGAGCGAGAATGACAAGACAGAATGCAGAGAACGTGGGCACTGACTGTGTGCCCAGGAGGTGGACAAATGGACAGGGGTGCAAACCACCAGAATATTGGGGCCACTGAGGAAGATGGAGCAGAAGGAAGCACCCAGTTGTCTGCTGCCTGTTCCTAGAAAGCCAGCTCTGGCAAAGTTCAGGCTCCATAGATTTCCTATGCAGCTGCTCCAGAACTTTCCCTGAAGACAGAGATGCTCTGAACTGAGGCTCTACAATGTGGACACTGTCAGCCAGATGTGGCTGAGCATGTGGGCGCATAAAGGAAATGAAAATTTTCATTTTACTTCACTTTTTTGGGGGGGATTTGGGGGATTGAACTCAACATCTACCATGAGTTTACTTAAGTCTATTGCTTAACCTTATCTCCATCCATTTTTGTCCTATTTTTTTCACATTGAGTCTCACATTTTTGCCCAAATTGGCCTTCAGATTTCAAATGTGAACCATTTCCATAGCCAGTCCTGGCTTGTTAACTTTTTGCCTCAGCTAGCCTTAAACTGAAATCGTCCCAATGTCTACCACAGGCTTCTGTCACCCTGACCAACGTACTTTGTTAGAAGCTTCAGGCACAGCTCAAGTAGTAGTATGCGTGTCTAGCATTCTTGAAGCCCTGAAATCAAACCTCAGTACTGTCAAAAAACAAAAACAAAACCTGAGGGGCTGGGAAGGTGGCTCAGTGGGAGAGTGCTTGTCTTGCATGCATGAGACCCTGGGTTCCTCAGCACTACATAAGCAGAAAAAGCTGGAAATGGTGCTGTGGCTCAAGTGGTAGAGCACTAGCCTTGAGCTGAAGAGCTGAGGGGCAGTGCCCAGGCCCAGATTTCAGGCTCCATGACTGACAAAAACAAACAAACAAACAAACAAATATTAAAAATCTGACTCTGTTGCTAACATTTTTTTTGGGTCTTGGGGCTTGAACCTCAGGTCCTAGATTCTGTCTCTGAGCCTCTTTACGCTCAAGGCTATAGTGCTCTACCACTTGCCACAGCACCACTTCCAGCTTTCTCTGAGTAGTTTTTTGGATATAAGAGTCTCACAAACTCCCCCCCCCCTCCCAACCTCAATCCTCAGACCTCAGCTTCCTGAGTAGTTAGCATTATAGGCATGAGCCACCAGGGCCAGGTTGTTGCTAACATTTTAAGTCAGAGAACGAAACAAGGAAACCAAGATTTCCAGCCTCTTTTCAAGTGTGAAATATCTGCTAACACTGGGAGGACTGGTGAAGGGAACCAGGCAGGGAAGCCCATTACAGCACCCGGAGCCTGAGGACTGTGAACCCTTGGAATGGATTTCAGGGGTTACCATCCAAGTCACTTCCACTCCACTACACAGAGAGCATTCCTGACTCCTTTATTACTAATTGATAATCACTTCATTGTGCCAGGCCACTCATGGGTGGGTGGATGGATGGATGGATGGAGAAGCTGGAGCCCCCAGGGTAACGCTGGGGCCTTCAGCCTGCTCCTCAGGGTAGGTCTGTGAACTCACAGACCTGTGGGGTGCTAGGACAAAGATCTTAGAGTGCCATATATATATATATATATATATATATATATATATATATATATATA